ATCGGGCAGATCTGTGCACCAGAAATGGAGTCGTTACAGCTCAGGAATACATTCCCTTTCATTTTCTGCTGGATGACTCATGTCGTTTTTAACCAAGTCAAAGAAGCTCTCTTCATCTAAGCAAGCCCCCCAAAAAAGGCAGTGAAGACCATTTAAGTGCCTATGAATTTCTGTGAAGGTAACGTCCCACATTCAAGCCTGGCTGGTGTGGTCCCAAACACTGACAGCACTTGAACTGCCCCACAGGAACAGCATGGAAACAGGCATGAGGCCAGTTGAGGCTGGCTGGACAGCAAAAGATTTGATTTTAGGGAAATGGGGTGTAGTAGCTGGCAGTTGTTTTTGTTCTGGACTGCCAAGCCATCACAATAGGCCTTTTATGCTTCTCCTCTCTCTTTCTCTCCATCTCTTTTGGACTCTGTCATTTGCCCAAGAAAGTTTCATTAAAACTGTATTATTCAAAAAGAGTTGCTTTTTTTGCCATCATCCCTTGACAAAAATCATAGTTTGGTGAAATATGTTAATTGGCAAGTTCTTTCCCTTTGCTTATAATTTCTGCTCAGATTGGTGGCTGAGCCGTGGTCAGGGCTGATCAGAGGAGACCTGGCTGCAGGAAACAGTGGATTTACGTCCCTTAACTGTTGCTCTATTAACAATAAGCATTTGCTGGATGACTTATTGCATATTTGAGGGTTGGGTGGTAGCCATGGGAAGAATTTTGTCCAAAAGAGGAGAAAAAGACGATTGCTCAGTGATGGGCTGAGGAACAGCACTTGAATGTCCTTGCAGCCTTCCAAGAAGCAGTGGTATTCGCAACCAACACTGTTTGCAGAGCAGTGAATGTGTGCCAGCAGTGTGCAGGTGCTTCTCTTTGGTAAGTGTCACATTATACCACTGGAATCTCAAGCACCGATTCTTGGGACTCTTCCGGGCTAAATTCAGCTTCCAATTGCATCTGTACAAACACCTCTAAAAATTTATGCCTGTTCTGTCACAAAACACCAGTTCTTCCTAACCATGCTCTTCCAAGGAAGCTGCTTGTAGCAGGATTTTTCCTGTTTCCATGCAAGCTGCAGGCATCATCAAACACATCTGAGGGTTCAGTCACTCCTTGGTAAAGTAGATGCTCTGTGGTGGGGACCAGCATGGTCACAGACATATTTTAGCCTGCCTTTCAGCACCGTGAAATTCATTAAACTATTGAACAAGGCAGTTTCACACCTCTAATGTATAATGAGATAATTTGTAGAGAGATCTAAAAAGCCTCAAAGTATAAAACCAGTCATTATTGGATTAACTAACCTATGATCATTTTGAATGAGTGTTTCCATAAAGGATGTGTGAAGTGAGCTTAGGGTTCAGTCTGTTCTCCACGCTGGGAAATAGAAAAGAAGAAGTTAAAGATGGAAAATGCTACTTCAGTATTCATGGAGACGATGAGGGATGAGCCCAGAGCACCCCTTTGCCCTCAACAGACATCTCCATCCCGAATCCTAAGGAAGACATTTCTTTAGCAGCTTGGCAGGAGGAGGCACACCCCCAGCTGCTGACGACTGCACCTGCACAGCCAGGTGTGCTGGGGCCACGTGTTCCACTTCCAAAATGAGAATTTCCCCTTCCACCCAGGAGATGGCACTCAGGCACTCACACAAAAAGCATCACTTCAGCCTTACCCAAAACCTGTTTTCCCTGAAGTTGTGTACTGGGGAGAAAACCTGAAAACTTTGCATTCACTGGGTTGTGCTCCCTGTGATGGGACCAACTGAGTGTCCTAAGAGGAAACAAATTTCTGACTCCCTGTGGATGCTACCACTTGTACTTGAAGTCCTCCTCATGGCTCCAATGAGTTTCCCACCAGAGAAATGGTGGATCACAGCAGCCTCCATCCAGGAATGTTCCTCTGTTTTGGACACAGGGTAGCACCAAATGATTTGAAAAAAATATGCCTCAGGTCAACCATAGCGATAATGAGGCAACGAGGTCCTGGAAAGCATCTCCTAATCTCCACCAGCCACATTCTGACTCATGCCCAACTTGTTTCTCTCTGTTGCTTTGGGGTTTTCCTCTTGGACTTTGTTACTAGTGTAAAACCTGGTGCATCCTTTTTGAATCCTGTTGAGTTCATGGCTGGTGTCATCTGGTGCTGTCATCTGCGAGCCCAGGTTGTGCAGAAAAACGAATGGTGTTGAGGTGATGCCAGTCTTAGCTAGAGCTTCTCACCTCTTTTTGACCCCAGTGCTCTTGGATGTTAACCCCGTGTCACTCATGTGAAGAGAATCCATCCACAGAAGCATCAGGAAAACAGAGGAGCTGATTTTCTGTCACCTGGATATATTTGCATGCAGTCTGAATGTCCCCTGGTAAAATGCAGAATTGACTCCCTGGGGCAGTGCGAGAACCCTTTTGTGCATTTGAGCTGCCATGGGACCATCACCACTTCCATTAGCAGGGACTTGGGAGGGGCAAAAAAAGCATTAACAGCAATCACTGCCATGACAGACAGACCCATATTGGGAAGGGGCAGTGAGGGCTGAAGAAACAAATGTTTGGAAGAAAATAAATGTAATCCTGGGAAGAGGAATGTCAGGAGATGGGGATACAACAGGCTGGATACTGGGCAGGGACTGAAACGTGTGAGTGCAGGTTTCCAAAGCCACGTCTCTAAGCCTGGTCTTCAAAAGTGGGAAGTGCCTAAACAAGCATTGCTGCCAGAAAACCCAGGAAGGACATTTATCTTCAATATCAGCAGCTTCCTTCCTTCTCCCTTAGCACACAGTTAAGGACCACTTTAGCAAACCCAGCATCCATCTGCCTGATTGATTATCCTCATTAGTGCTCCTGACGGGGTGTAGCACGACAGTATATTCTGATTCAGACATTTGTTTCCACCGTGGTTGCCCATTTTGATGAGCATTTAGCAACGTGCTTTTTCCTGGTGGTTTTACCTTGTGTGTGTGCTCTGAGCTCTCATCTAGACACAGCCCCAGCCAGCGTAACAAAACGATACAGGGGAGCAGTGTGGAAATCAGCCTGAGGAGCCTGCCTGCAGCACGGGGATGCAGGATAATGATGCTTTCTCGTAAGAGAAAACTATTAGTAAGACCATGGGATTAATTCCAAGTGGTGCAAAAGTACATCTTCCTGTTGAGAACATCTCTAGTCTCATGGTGTCGTTTCCCAAAGAACTCAAACTGTCTCCTCAGGGGTCTCTGATGCAAGCGAGTATTTTCCCCTGTATTTTAGGTTAAAGGTAGTTTCATTGTTTCTGCCCTCCAAAATTGGCACTAGTCCACTATCCTTAGCTCCAGTGGCACTCTATGTCACACTAAGGACCCATGGGCTGTGGTCAGCAGTGCCCCAGGCCAGAGCAGCTTTGCAGAAATACTGGACCCCTCTACTTCCCTGTAGCCTCTGGTTGGAGCTTGGCCTTGGCAGATGTCATTTCGCTAAATCCCCCAGTGCTTCTCTTCCCATGGGGAAACACAGCCATGCACATGACTTTCCCAAGGTTCTACAGCAAGTGAATTGGTAAAATTTGCCTTAGGTAAGTGATGATGGGGTGAAACACCTGTGGAGTGTAAGGAAGCAGGAGAGGCGATTCCCTTGGGGCAGCAACCAGCATACTGCTGCGTCTGCAAAGTCCCTGCCACCAGCAGGTCAAGGGATGCTTGACAATACTGTAAAGTAAGTTATTTGCTGTCTTTAATATTGATATTTTAGCTCATGCTTATCCCTCAGTACTGCAAGGATTAAAAGGAATGCCTTTCAGGAGTCAGGGAGAGGTTTCTCTACACCACCTACTCCAGGACAATTCTGGCACCCGTTTAGAAGACCCAGAGTCAGGTCGCTAAAACCACAGTAAAAAGGCTGTCAGCCCTTCCCGGGTCTGGGTTCGGCGGCTCTCCATTGCCATCTTCAGGCTGAGAGCAGCCTTGCTCCTTCCAGAAATCCTAGAAATCTCCCAAATTGACATGGCAAACTCAATTCCGGCTTGCCGAGCATTAGCTGAAATTGATGGCCAAACCCTGCAACAAGGTGTTAAATACAAACGAGGGGAAGGAGTTCTGCAAGGCTGGTACTCAGCCACCCTGGGTAACATGGATGTTTTCCACCCCCTGAGTGCACAAGGATTTAGAGAGTAAATTACCACAAGCAATGCTGCTTATACTTCCTGCTGAGAGACAAAATTTACCATCAGGTTTTCTTTAAAGTACATAAATTGAAACTGCCTAGATGGATTTAGCTCTGTAGCCCACGCCGTTCCCCCAAAAAAGTTTTTCAGAACGATGATAAAAGCTGAGGTTCTTGGGAGATTTTAATGATAATTTGCACTTAAAGAGGTCTTTGCCATACGTTTCACATCTGACAGACATGGTTTGGAAGAGAGGAGGTTTCCAGGCTTGCAGGGTCTTGGATGAGCAATATTACAGGCAGCTTAGAGGGCCTGTAATCACAGAAGAGAGACTGTAATCACAGAACAACATAGGTAACACATACTAAAAGAAACCAGAAAACCATGGAATAATGTAGGTGTCCTGGTCCCACAGAGCCAGCTTAGATGAGGCTGCTCAGACCCAGTCCTATCACCCAGTGAACATCTTCATGCCATTCCCCTCCCTCTTCTGCACCCAGACAGTGTTTGACCACCCTCACGGTGAACATTATTCTCCCACTAATTAGATCTGATTGGATAATCGCTTTCAAGGAGCCCAGAGACCTGTAGAATCATAGAATGGTTTGAGTGGGAACGGGCCTTTGGGGGTCATCTAGTCCAGCCCTCCCGCAATGAGCAACGACAAACCCTGCTACGTGGAAGAACATTCCAGCAGTGAAGCCCTTACCGTTTTATCTCAGGTCTCACAGTATTTTGTACCAGGTCTTACTGAATATAATTTTTCCCACTGCCTCAGACCCTGGAATCCCAAATCTCAGGGCCAAAACGGGTAACTCTGGTACTTACCATGGCCACCTTAGCACCACTCACAGCATCGCGGTCTCCAGCGCATATCCTTCCCAGACAGCATCCACGGACAAGGGATTGGAGTGGACCAGTCCAGCTTCTTCAAGAAAACACTGTAGCTGTCCGCGTACTCAGACACCCAGCGGCCTCTGCGGAAAACACGGACAGGGGGAGAAGGAGAGGAGCTCCATCCTCTGCTTTGTGCACCAGGACAAGGAACCTGCCTCCCCTTCAGCAGCGTTTGACCTCCCAGCCGGGAGATTGTGTGGAACAAACGAAACCACATCCAGCTGGCGTGGGGGAGAGGGGGAACAGCCTGTCCCCATCAGGGATGGTGCAGGTGCTGCGACACACGTGGCTGTCACGGGGACCGATCTCCCACCTGGGTCAACCATTACACAGGCTCAGTTTCCAGCCCACATAAAACCCCAGGATCACAGATCAAAATCTTCAGTGCAGAGCTGAAATATATGTGTGCTGGGGGAAGGTGGGGGCCATGAGGCAGCAGGGAGGAATCACCTTTCAGTGAGAAATGAGGACTGAGGAGCCGTTTGTGCCTGTTTGGTTCATAGTGTGCAGGTGAGTCATGTTGCAAAGAAGCTCCTGCCCTGTTTGGTTTGAGAGAGCCCTTTCCCAGGGGAAGCCTGGGCATGGAAATGATGAGACATGCCTCCTGCCCCAGCTCCACAGAGATCTCAGCACCTTCTTTCCACAGGGATGAGGCTGTCCCAGCAGTTGTCTCCCCACCCTTATCGACCCCACTGCAAGCCTTTTCAGGAAAAGGGTAAGCAGGTTTTGAGAATGGATTTGTCCCTGAGAGGATTCCTTTGGCCTGATTTCATGACTTGAACAGGGAGAAATACACTTGAGAAACACCATCCAATCCCAAACAGTTCCAAAACCTCCCTGTCCTACTCTTACCCTGTCTCCAGCTCCCACCATCCACCCTCTCCTCCCCAGCCCATTTCTCCCTTACTGGTTGAAGCGTCCATCTGCAGGGAAAATGGGAGAAGGCCTCGTCTGCTCTGTGTACAATCCACCATGGACTCCTGTCCGGCGTGGGAAATCCAGCTGGTAGGTACTTCTCCAGTCAGGTATAGAGCAGTCTAGTGAAAGAGAGTCCAAAGAATTTAAAGACTTTTTTTGGGTCTCTGTCTCTTGTATCCCACAGTCTGAGTGTTCCTCCTTCTGAGCTCCATTGGCTGTGTGTGCTTCCAGTGCTCCTGCTGGAGCTACCACAATGAAGGGATTAGCCAAGGGAAAATGTAAAATTGCTTCCCTGGCATAGATAAGGTCTTTTAGATGAGATTATCAAGCCCTTATTTTCCATAGCCTTTGATGTGAGAGGGAAGCCACACAAGGCAGACCTGGAAACGATATCTTGTGGTCTTCCCATCTGGACATTGACTTGTCACCTGGTATATATTTTGCCCACCTGCCTAGATTTTCTTTTCCATCATGCCTTCAAGCAGGAACTAAACAAGGGAAGATATCCATGGCCCACTTAACCCCTAAGTGAGGACCATCACATCTGTTGTGCTATCTTCCCCAAAAATCCCTGTGGGAGTGGTTTGATGGCGTGCCATCTCCCATCCAACCCTTCCAGAGATGTCTCATCTGTATGTTAACAGCCTGATGTGTGTCCTCATTGAGCAGATCTGCCTGTGGATAAACCTCTCACAAGGTCTCACTCACAACAAAGCAGGGAGGGCACACAAAGCAGAATCACCCATTGCAGACCTTTCAGATTTTCTGTGTATTTTTAAAACGACACATTTCTATAATGAGTCATTAGTAGAGTAATTTTGCTGTTCTCACTGAGGCTGAGGTTACAGGTACCTCACATGTGCACAACCATGTCAGGCTGTTAATGCAACCTGGGTGGTTGCAGCAGCAGTTCCTGTGTTGTGACATCATTTCCAGGGAGACCACATCGAGCAGGGCTGTGCTCCATGGGGTGGCCCATATGGAACTTGGGATGAAAGAAAAATCATTTACAACACTCCAGCCTCTTCTAAAAGATAACTGTTTTTCCCTGCCTTGCTTCTCCCCACTGATGGGCAGGTGGTTACGGGGGCTCTGTGGACCCTTCCTGTGCCAATCACCTTCCCTTCACCTTCCTCAGTCTCCTTTCACATTAAATTAAAAAAAAAAATAACCAGGATGAAGGCCACAAGTCATTCACATGGGGCAGCTGCCATCCACTGACCTTCCATCAAAACAGATGAGCCCAGGATCTTGTTTTTGTATTGCTCAGCGTTGTCCAGCCTTTCCCGGTACAAACCCTGGGTGAATTGCACGTAGCTGACCAAGCCTGGGGACACTTTCTCCCTGTGCAGCATCGTCCCTAAGACATTGGAGGAGAAAAAGGTGCATTAGTCAGGAATCACCATCAATTACTCACCCAAATCCTTGGGTGTGAGCAAGTAAACAACCAGGGCAAGTTGGAGTCTCAGCTGGCATAAATCAGGGGAGGCCCAGTCAGCTCAGCAGAGCTTTGCTGAGGTGCATCAATTTTGCACTGATCTGGCTCATGGCACAAGTAGGGGAAGGATTTATGTTGATGCAAAGCAAGTGGAAGGAGCCATGCTGCCTCCACGTTGCCCTGGAGTGCAGGAGGTCTGTGTGTGAAAGGGAAAGGTTTTGTGGGAAATCCTGCACTGCTGGGATACACAGGGGCAGAGCAGGAAGGGAAAAGCCCTCAGGAGTTTTGTTGTTAGCACAAGACAGCTTCAGATGGGCTTGGCAAGGAGATGCTCAAAGCCCTCAGATGTTAAGTGGAGCCTAAATGGATTGACCAAATGGACAACTGATTGTCCATGTGGAGATATATCCATATGAGCTGCCTGTCCAGAATCTCCTTCTAGTGAGTGGAGAGACAGAAGGCCTGTTGGGGCTTAGTTCAACTCATTTCCAGGGTGGCATTTAAGTTACAGGAGGAGTCTGTGTCTTTGCTCTCCACTGATCGTGAAAGGATCCGGACACAGACATCCCACTCTGGGAGAGATCAGCTCAGGGAACAGAGAGGACATCCATGGCCACATCTCCTGTTTGCTTCTGGAGCATTGTTGAGCAATTCTGCCCTCTTCCCTCTCAAGCAGAAGCTCAGAGGAAGATCTCCACTGCTTCAGAGTGATGTTTGGTGACCTATCATTTTGCTTTCCTGTCTTCCCATCAGCGTTTTAATCCTTGCAAGCAAGTTGTTAAATGGTGTGGCTGAGGGCTGGCTACCAGCCCCTTTGCTGCATTTGCTGTCAGGCAGACACCCCTAACAGAAGGTGTTTGAGCCACCCAAATCCCCCATGCTCAGCCACAAAGCCCTTTTGCCTCCCTGCATTTCTGTTCATGACCTGCAAGGTGGGGGTAACTGCATCTCCCTCTATCCCAACAGAGCTGTGAAGATAAAACCCTTAAGAGACTCTGCCTTGCTAGCAGGGACTCTTCATGCACTAAGATGCTTCCAAGACCCCATTCGGTGCATCTGTGCTTTGAGCTGGCCTGGGAGCTGCGTTTGTGGTGACAGGGTGCTGTGCCCACGCTGCTAATCCTCACCAGGCTCAGCCCAGCACCGACACACCCTCGGGATGCTGCCATCCATGTGCATGCAGCCAGCATGGACCATGGGCTGGGGGGACTGGCAGAGATGGATGGATGAGGTCAGTCAGCTGTTTGAGAGTGGCTGGCACCAGCACTGGGGGTTACCTTCTGTTTCGGCTGTCTGAGCAGGAGGTGGGAGGTCCTGGCAACAAAGCAGCCCTTCCTGCGGCTCAGCGAGGATCTCCAGTTTCCCTGACCGGCCCGGTGTCGGCTGGATGGGAGGCTGGGACTTGGGTAGGTAGCACCTTGGTACGTAGCCGTCTGAACTAGGATGGTATGAAGTTATCTGCAGGAAGAAAAGCCCCCTGTGAATGGAGAGGCAGCGAGCGGGAAGGGCAGCTGCTCAAGCATCATCCAACACCACTCGCTACCTGTGCACAGCAAAGCCTGGGCTTTGGTGGGGTCAGTATCTCTGAGAATGCAGCCCCAGGGCACAACTGTCATTGAAAGTGCAGGCACAGCTTCCTCTGTCTGCCTATCTTACAGCCTGGGACTCTGCTGGAGGGAGGGAGGGAGCCACAGCACAAGCAGTGGTTTGACGATGGGAGAGGGTTCTTGCCAGGGAAAGGCTAAAGGGGCTGCTGGTGTGGCTGATCTGGAGGGGCTGCTGCCTCCAGCCTCTCCAGCTGCAACTGGATCTTCAGGTGCTGCTTTCTAGGGACTCAGAAAGGGACTCTCCTGCTATGAGCTCTGGGGTCAGCAAGAACCATCTTCACAGGTGGTTGTTTGGTCTCTGTGGGTTTTGTTCTGTTTTGAGTCTCCAAGGTCCTCAGGGCTCTCCCAAAGGTGATTTCTCCTTCACCATGCTGACAGTAGGGCAGGTGGAAGCTGCAGAGCTACAGGAATGACCTATATCTGGGGACTTCCCCTACTGAGGATGGCCAGAGCTCCTCACGGGGCATCTACAAAGGGTCAGGAGCCTCCAGGAACACACGGTGGGCACGGTTCAGCAGTGAGTGCTTTCTTCCTTAACCCAAGGAGTTCCCCACCTTTCCCCGGGGAGGAGGACACTGCCCAAAATTTCACATCACACTTGTTTCATCTGCTTAAAAAAAAGAATGAATCCTATCAGGGCCAAGAGGGAAACCTGGGCCTCCCAAGTACCTCATCATCGTGCTCCCCAGTGGGAGAGCTTTCCTCAGCAGGGCTTGGGAACTAATAAAGAGCCAAAGGGAGCTGTGCAACCCAAGAGAATCAGACATAGCCCCCTCCCTTCTTATCTCCCAAACTACATCACAACCTCCACAGCAAGCGTGCAGCCCTCCGAAAATAAAATTAATAAAACTTTTTAAATTAAATTAAAGAAATAAAGGAAAAGAAATAAAATAAAAAAAAAAAAAAAAGAAAAAGAAAAAAAAGAAACTGAGATGCACGGCTTGGAAACTGTGCTCCAGCAGGCAGGGGTTAAACCCTGCCCTCCCAGCCGGGATCTGGGCTCCTGGAAGTGGAGCAGCCACCTAAGGCTGGGGCTGCCCGGGAAGCCCTCGCCAGCCCGGAGAACAGCGGGAGCCCCGAGCAGGACCGCTAATGAAGGCTGCTGGCAGCGGGAGCGCTCCCCGGGGCAGGAGGAGGGGAGAGGAGAGGAGAGGGGAAGAGAGGAGAGGGCTCCCCAGGCTGCTGCCCAGGCGAGGATGGCAGCGGTGGCCGCAGACAGCCCCTCTGCCCCGGCGGGCACCTTCACACAATGATTTCTCTGTTGCTGTCCCCCCCTTTTCCTCCTCAGCCTCAACTTTTTTTTCTTTTTTTTCCTCTCTCGTATGAGCCCAAAGCACTTCAGCAACCGAACATGCCCCCCACCACTTCTCCGCCGTGGCCCAGTGCAAACCGCAGCTGTCCCCACCGGGCTGCCACAAGCAATTAAGCCAGGGCAGGCGGAGCGAGGCAAATCAGATTAAATAGCTCAGGGGGTCGCTCGCACTGCGAGGAGATTAGAGAAAAAACAACTCCAGCTTCCCCGCAGAAGTCTTCTCAGGCCCGTGTCAGGGCAAGGAGCCATCTCCATCCCAAACGCAGTCCCCCTCCTCAAGGCGGTACCGGGATGGGTCTAATCCTGACGCACTCCATCAGCCCCACGGGGAGCAATAGGAGTCCAAGGCTTAGGCACCGGTTCAGCAGGCAGTCGTTAGTGCCCTGCCTTAATGAGCGTAATTAGCATCACTCCCCACGAACAGCTTTACCGGAGGGTGCAAGGGGGATTTCCCGCAGAAGGGATGGGGGGCACAAGCCAAGGGCGTTTGGGCGTGGTGGGACCTGCTGGTGGGTCACAGCGGTGGGGACTAAAGCAGACCCTGCCAGTGCAGGCAGCACCCGTGCCTGCTGCCCCCCCGGCACCATCCCAGTCCCCAGCTGTCCTGTAACCACAAGAGGGGAGCTGACAGCTAAGGAGGAAAGCAAGGAGAAGACCACAGTACCTGTACGTCCTCCTGGTTGGGTGGCTCGTAGGTGTTGTGCCAGCAATAGTCTTTCTGGTACATACTCTTGTACCTGTCCAGTGCTGCAGGCAGCTAAAAATGAGAGAAGGCAAACACAAGGAAACACTAAGTCTCAGAGGAAGCCTTCAAAAGCAGTGGTACAAACCCAAAATGCTCTCTCATAGGTCAGGAGAGGATGAGCTGCTCTTCTAGGCACAGTCTCTGACCTGTGGGCCACCTGAGGCAACAGAGGCTACTCCTTGCTCAGTTCAGCCCCAGGCAGGGTGGCCAGGAAGGTCCTATGCTCTTTTTGCAACAGTTTCTGGGGCTTTTCTTACCCCATGCAACAAACAGCTTCCTTCTACTTCTCTCAAGCTTCCTCTGGCTGCCTGGATGGCCCCAGGCAGAGCATTAATATAGAGCTGCTGAAATACTTTGATCAGCTGCTGAGGTCCAGTGTCTCTCAAGTTAAATCAGCGCATGCTTCCATCGTCCATCTCAGTAAGACTTCCTACGTGCTTATCCCATATTTAAAGTGCTGGCTAATGTCAATACTCATTCTGCAAAGCGAGTGGAGAAGCTATGGAGGAAAAATATACTCTGCCAGGGTATATGAGGCCAGTGACACCTGCCCTAGCCCTGAAAATCCTCGCAGAGCAAACTTCTGGACACTGGGAGAGGGTTTTAGGGAGAAAGCACTAGCTGTGTCTTCTCCCTCAGCATGCACCATAAGCACTTCTGGAGCCAGGAAAGCTCCAGCTTTCCTTGGTGAGATGAACCTTCAGGCTGGTCCAAGAGCTGTTTTCATACTTAAGCATTAGATGTGATAACTTGTCAGTGCATGGCAAGGGCTGGGGGAGATGATCTCTAATTGGAGGTGTTACTGTGATCCCTGCTGCCACACAGACACATCCACCACACAGGCGTGGCTCGGCCAGCCAAGGCAGAGTCTGCATTCCCATGTCCCTGTGATTAAAAGGAATCCCTAATAATAATAATCCCCTACTAATAACTCCACTGGCACACAGCACCTTCAGGAGGGCTCCTTATGCCTTGCCTTAGCAGTCATCCACTTTTATATTCTATCTTCTATTATTCTACATTTTACATTCTCAGTACTTTTTTTCCTAACATTTCACTCTTTTCCCCCTTTGGGCTTCCCAGACCGGTGTCTGCCTTTGGCCAGGACCCAGGGTCCCACTGTCACCAGTTCCTGTTATCTTCCCAGATCATCAGACCCAGCAAACCCATTACTCAAACACCACTGAGGATGAGTGTCCTGTGCATCCTTCACCTTCCATCGCCTTGCATTCTTCGTTAGGTCCATGGTGAACCAGGAACCTGCACCAGAAAAGTCACTCAGTTAAAAACCAGCAAACCAGATCCACTCCTCCATCCCAGCTCGAGGGATAGGGGACCTATCCCGGTCTGAAGCCGGCTACCAGCAGGAGGAAGGGGGTTCAGCTGGGGCCGTAAGACCCCTGTGCACCTCAAACTGGCAAGAGTATGACTGACTTCATTCAAGCTCAGCAAAGCAAAATTTACCCAGCCAGGACTTACAGAGACGGACACCTCAGGGGACGCAGCCTGCTGGAAGCCAGAAGGGATGAGATGGAGGCATCCCACCACCAGCAGTCCCAGAGCCACCCAGAGGGTGAACAGGTGTGACCTCCTGGGACAGGGTATGTCTGGGATGGGATCCACCAATGGCCTGTGTGGCCACGGTGTTTCCAGGGTGGAGGGAAAACTCTGTCCCATTGTGACACAACTGTAACTCAGAACCCTGGAGGCCTTGGGGGGGGGCTGCTGTTCTCTTCCTCTGGTGAGCTGCAACAGGAGACAACTGGGGATGCTTTGACTGAGTGCTCCATCCCACAAAGAGTCAGGAACACCAGACCAGGTCCACCAAGCAGTATTTACTCTTTCAAAAGTGACAGGCCTTGACCAGGCTTGGATGCATTTCATCACAGGGCTAACCTTGCCTAATTTTATATGTCCACAAGGACAACATCTCCGTCTGAGCTGAGCCCTCCTGACTTCCTGGCTTGTTTAGCCCAGTTCATGTGACCAGTGCAGGTACAGAGTTGGATCTGAAATAACCTGCTTTCTCAGAAAGCCTGTGTTTGGAGAGCTGAATCTCCCCCAGGACTCCAGTTTCTGTAGCTACACATGAGCCTGGCTATCGGTTCAGAAGTGAGATTGTCTGCCACTACAGCACTGCAAACAGTAGTAAATGCTGCTGATGAGCCAGGAAGATGAAATCTCAGCTGCAGGATCCTCCACAGAGGAGAGCCAGTCATGGACCTGTGTTCACAGGCACCGCTGGAATGAGCTGAATTCCAAGAGTTATTTCTCTTTGCAAACTGTCAGGCACCAGCGTGCAACTGGAGCCCAAGGATGTTAACACTCTGGCAAGGGTCGTGTGCTGCAAACAGCTCAGCACTAGCATTAAAAAGGAAGAGAAGTCCTTTGTCCCCACTGCATTTTAGGTAAATTCATATTACAATAAATGATACAACAAGGAAAGAAGTTATTTCCAGAAATGTGAAACTCTCATGTTCTCCTGTGCTTATATTAAAGGGATTACACTCCATTTCCTTCTTAATACAGCTAATGCTCTATGGGAAGCCCTCAGGCCAGGGATTAAAGCACTTATTCAATTAATTAGGAACAAACTTCTGCCTTAAAGTCAAACACACAAATATCAGTAAGCACTCAGAGTGTCTTCCTTCCAGGGCAGAGAAAATGGATCCTATTTCTGGTGTAAATGACACCAAGTCTGCACTCTGTAATTAACAGGAATAATAAACCTTAAGAAGAATCACACTTAAAATATGATAATTCTGTAACGCAACATAGTAAAGGAGGGACAGTCCCATCATCTTGAACTCAGCACTGGAACCCCCATCAGTTACAGTGGGAGCAGAATAAGGTCCTACAAGGCTAAAACAAATGAGATAAAATTTTAGGATGTAACACTGGTAACTAGCTCCACGCTTCAGGCACAGCAGTGTTTGGATGTATTTGAAGTTAGGGGTGAAATCCTGGCCCTGTTAAACACAAGAAAAGAAAATGCTTATTCAGTAGGATCCGAATTTCACCTAAGGTGTCTGATTCATTACTGAGATAGAAGACAATTTCCAAAACCTGGCTCCAAATCCTAATCTTCCTTGATGATAGCTTGATCCTTCCGTCTTCTCGCAGGCACAGCTCACATGAAATTAAAAGGCATTTTGCCAGAACAGTTTATGCAGGAACAGCCCACTATTACTGTTCAGTTTCCCATTTCTTCTTCCCAAATATCAAAAGATGGGGTTGATAACTGCCAACATAATTCCAATTAGAAGTGGATAGGAACCAAATTCCCAGCTCTCACCTTCCTCTGCCTCCGAGAGAGCTTATCAGCCTCCCCGTTGCTAATGCAGATATGGAGGAAAAGTTAACCAGCCACATGCCTTTTTAAAAAATGTTTTTATATATATAAATGGACCTTTTAAAATTTCCCTTACAGCAGCTGGTGGGCTGCAGTGCCATTATCTCTCCTGTGACACCAATTCACTGCAGTGGTCCCAGTTTTCTCTTGAATCCCCTGATACACAGAAACACAGCTGCAGGATGCTCCTGCATGTCAGATCCCTCCCCTGGCATCCCCACAGCACTCAGCATGGGCTGTTCATGGCAGACATCCAGCTGGAGTGACTGGAAATACTGTGTTGGCTTCACATAAGCTGGAACTGCCCCTTCCCTGCCCCATTAACCTCTGCATGACCACTCAAACTCTGCTGGGCTACGCAAAGCAGCACGGGGCACTTCAGTGTCACCTTGAATCTCAGCCATGGGGTTGTTTTGTCAGAATTTTTTTGACCAGCCAGATTTTTTCCTGTGTCTTTTCCTCCCCACCTTCCCCCACTGTATGTTTTGCTAAAGCTTCCCTGCCCTAGGAGCATTTCACTGAGGAGAGCTCACTGTACCCTGCATGGCTGCTCCCCATGTAGCTGTCTGCACATCTCTGAAACAGAAGATACAGTGCTGAAGACCAACACTGGGTTATAAACACCTGCAGGAGAAAATTGCTCTTAAATGATTGATTTATTTTCACAATACTGCAGGAAGGCAATGGCTGAGATTCCCAGGGTCAAAGCCTAAACTACTCACCTGAATGGAAGTGCCCCTGTTTCTCAAGGCAACAATAACCCCAAATATCCAGGGAGGTTTTCAGAGGGTCCTGGTGCTTTTGACCCTTCCACATCATGCATAGAAGCAAATTACAACAAGACAGACAGGACCAGATTGTCAAAGGCAGACAACGATGAGTTTTAGTAGCACCTTGGGATAATTTGACACTGGACCCAAAGATCTGATACCTGAGCTGAGGACCTTTACAATCAGATTGAAGGAGTTTAAGTTATAGTCAAGGATCTTAAAATGATGAGATTTCTGTACCCGACCTCTGCAGCTCCTTCCTGACATCCTGCTGGTGCTTAGAAGTACCTATGTACCTCTGGAAATTCCATCTCATAGCCTCAGTAAGACTGCAGCAGCACATAGGACATGACACAGAGACAAATTTCACCTCAACTTGTTCCTAACTTACCATATCTGCTGTCTTTTCCCACCTGTGGAATGTAAAGGTGCTGTCTAAGCCTGTACAGCTCTTGCGCAAGGCGCTGCACTGGGCACTGGCAGGGTTCAGGGGAACCACCTCATCTATTAACAACTCAGTGCACAAAAAACATGGCCAAGGAGGACGTACCTCCCTGTCAACCCAGCCCTTGAAAAGTGCTCTTTGGGCTAGGAGCAAGATTCATTGCCCCCATGAGGATGTTGAAAGAGGGAAGTGATGGGTAAGCAGGACCCCCAGCGCGTGGAGAAGGCAGGGTGTAATCTGTGCATCTCCATTCAGGTTATCACCACGAGGAGACAAAGCACAGAGTGGAGATGCTTCTTCAAGGGACGGGTGTTGACAGCCCCTTCTGTCAGCATGAGGTCAGTCACCCATTTGGGTCTAAAAACATGAACTTTGGTGGCAGTGCAGCAGTCCAGCATGGGCACATTTCCTATGGAGTTATTTCATCCTTCTTTCCCGTTTTCTTGATAAATTGGTAGGGGCACTTAGGGCGCCTTGTGAGCAGAAACAAGCAGCATCCTTCACCCTAAATCTGAGGCCCCTGTAGGTCTCTTCCAGCCACCTAAATCACCTACAGGACTGAGCCCTCAAAGTCAAACTGCTTGTTGCACAGACACTCTTCTGTGCAGAAGACAAGGGCACCTGGTGAACTCAGTGGTGGTGCCAAATCTTTTGGCAATTCTGCTGTAACCTGCCAAAACAATCAGCTGTTTGTTCGTGATTCTCCCCCAAAAAGCATCCATCAGCAGAGGATGGCTGAAATCTCATCACTGTCTGTACAATGTGTCCTGTGATATAAATCATTGCATATTTATGCACCTGTGTAAGGCAAATGCATATTTGCATTGTCGGAGAACCTAAATCTGCTCCCCAGTGCCCGTTGTTTAAACAGCCCTTTAACCACATCACTTTTCTCCTCGTTAGGTTAAGTCGCTGGAGGTGAAAAAGTCCTTCCCAAAATGGTTTTCACTCACTCACTCAGTCCAAAGTAAACATGCCTCTGGGACCATTATGTGTATCAGGTATCCAAGGCTTTGTTAAAAGCTTGCCTGTTAGGTAAATTCTGCTTCTCCTTTTCCTTGGAAGGAGAAGGTTAAAAATCAGAGATAGGCTCACACAAGTAATGCAGAACAGCTTTACAGACAAATAGGAATAACAGCTGAAATTCACAGCAGAGTACACAAGTGACCCAAATCTCGGGAAGGCTCTTGATCTGGTGTAACTCTGGTTGCAATATGACACTGGTTTGACTTGTGCCTGTCACTTGTAACCTCATTCACACACCTCATGGTGGCCAAGAGCCAGACATTTTCACCAGCAGTCAGCAGAGCCACCGTATGGAGCTGAGGGCCCAGGATAACAAGCATGAGCCTTTGCTAATAACGCATAAAGAGGAAATGTGCATCTATGGCACATCACAGAAAATCCTCGAGCCATGTGCCCACATGTCACGGGTATCAGCCAGCTGGGCTTTCCCTGAGTCTCACCTCACGGTACAACCACAACTACTTCTCAAAGGCAAGTTTGGCAGGACAATGACCGCTCTGAATCAGCTCATCCAGGCCTCATCCACAACTGCTCCAAGGTTTGGGCTGCACATGCAGCTGGGAGATTCTCTCACTGCAGCCATTAGCTGTTCAGCTGATCTGAACTTGTCGGGGAGAATAAAGCAACCACCTGCTCCCAGTGACAGGAAAAGTAAAGTGAGATCAAACGCAAGCAGAGGGAGAGAATTTAAGCCATGCAAGAGGTGGTTGCATGTCATTTCAGAAGTCACCTTTTGTCTTTGATCTGTGCTTAGGAAGCGGGCACCTCCTGGATCAGATGGTCGTTAGAGAAGTGTGCCACCAGAGTCATCCCACCTTGAAGTCTCAAGTGTTTGCTTTCCCCAGGGATCCTCCTCCTACTTCCACCGCAATGTAAATCATCTGCCCTGAGATTTCCTTTAGAGAAGCCAATTAATACAGGTTAGGGAGCGGGAACCATGTCCTCATTCACTGTGATGAAGCTGAGCCTGAGCTTTTATAACTGTATTATACACGCACAGGTAGGTCCTCTAGAGATCAGGGAGCTATTGTAAAAGCTGCAGTGCACACACAAAAAGCCCTGGC